TGCATGAGTGCTTCTCAGAGATTTTTTCCCAGGGGACCCTTGATTGGCAGGAGTGTGAGCAGGAGCTTTACTTCTCATTTTCTTGATTTTCCACCATCTGACCTTTGGGTCTCGAAATCACCAGGAAGGACAAGCTGACAACAGGCCGAGTGCAATTGGGCGACAATCGTAGAAAAGCTTTATGTCCATCTGACTCAGAGGCAACCCAGAAAGTGATGCCTACAGCCCCCACAAACTGCCATGCGAACTTGCCAGGGAAGGCAATCGGTTTGGTTTGTGAGGAATCGGATTCCTTGAAGCCAGCGCTTTCATGACAAGGGAATGAGATGTTAAAGAAATAAATCTCCAAGCAGAACCTACTTCTATATTTATCAACAATACGTTTATTGACTGCAATCATGAGGACTATGAAACACTTGGGAGTGATTTTTTAATAATCAGAGAAAGGGGAAAGGGCAGAATTTGCACAAATCACTTTTTATGCAGCTGCAGCAGCTCCACCTCTCAGGACCGGAGGCTCTGCACAAGGAGTGCTGCAATGAACATCAGGGCCGGGTTCAACTGCATTTCCCAACCCAAATGGCCCTGGGTTTTGGTGCCTCCTCTTCGCTGTCCCTCCTCCAACTCCTCCGCTGCACCCGTGGGTGCCGGACCCCACAGGACCCCGAGGGCCCCTCGGTCATGCAGGAAATAACAAACAGGCAGAGACGACCGTCCAGCTCAGCCACGTCCTGCTCTCCATGGTCGGGGGATTAAGAAACCCACCCTTTGCGTCCAGGGCCACGGACACGGCACAGCTGATCGTCTGCAGCGAGAGGAGTCCTCCAGGGTCACAGACACGAGCACGACTGAGGCCGGAGGGGACAACGAGCAGGTCCTGTCCTGCATGTTTCCTTTCCCTCTCACTGGCGCCGCCTGAGCCTGATTTCACCGTCCTGCACCCAGAACCAGGGCCGGATCTTGCCCCCCGCGAACGAGGCTGGTGAGAAAGTGAAGATCGGGGCCCCGGTGTCAGCATCAAGAAACGACACCCACCCCAATGTGCAGTCCAGATACACCCCCACCCTGCTGGGCACCCGGTCCAGGGACAGCGGGGTGCGATCAGGGGCAGTGAGAGCCTCGTAGTGACCCACCCAGCGCTGCACAGCCCAGACCCCCTACTTGGGGCTAAATCTGATCCATCCCTTCCTGCTCACAGACTCTCTGACCACCCCCACGGCCCACCCTCCCCTCTCCCCCACCTCCACCTCCACCTCCCACCAGTGTCTCCCGGAGGCGAAGCTCTCACGGCCCAGCACGCAGGGCCTAGTGTCAAATCTCTCAGGATTGTCAGGCAAAACCTGCCGTGCGCCTGCTGATGTCACACGCTTCCCATCCTCAGATAGGATGAGGTAGGGATGAGCTGTGTGGGGATCCAGAGTCACGTCCTCTGCGGGGAAAGGAGAAAACAGGAGCGTGAGGAGCAGCGCTCAGCCCGAGGACAGGCTGTGATCAAGGCAGGGGCAGCTTTGGCTGCAGCTGGAGGTGAATCCGGGATTGACCTGAGCAGGAAGGAGCCCGGAGACCTCAGCAAAGGGCAGGGCCGATTCCCCACTGGCAGGAAGAGACGGGTCAGGGACAGAAACACGCTGGCTGGGCCAGGCCTGGGACACGGGATTGTTCCCCTCCTGCACCTGCCGGTCACAGGCAGGGATGAAAGACCCTGGGGGCTCAGGAGAGCCCGACAGAGGGTGTGAAGGGGAGAGCATGGATACAGCTCATCTCCCTCTGCCCTGTCCACTGCCTGTCTTCAATCCCACCCTGCTCCACCGTCCCCACTCTCAGACTCTGGGGGCCCTTTCCCGGAGAGACATTCCCACTCCACCGAACCACAGCCAAAGTAATTAAAACTTGGACCCAAACAGTCCATGTGTCACAAAGATGTGTTGTGTCCCAGATTTCAAGTGCAGGTCCAATTTCCCAAGTTTCCAGAGCTTACCCAAAAGGAACAGCCTTAGTCATAGCAGATGGGAGGGAGTAAAATATATACACAAGTAGGACAGTCTGAAGGTGAAAGTGGAGAGATAAGGTGTGAGGACGAGGGAATGAGGAAGCCATAAGTGACTTATGCAAACAGACAGTTAGTTGTGTTAGAAGTCAGGAAGTGCACTTGGTGTCTTAATAAAGAGAGCTGGAGTACTGCTCTGGCTGCAATGGTTCAGGAAATGTCCAGGAGACCAGGATGTTTTTGTAGTATCTTTTATTGGTCTGACTATACAGTTGGAAGAGCTGTTGGACAAAGTTTTGGGCATCAAGTGCCCTTCCTCTAATTAATATGGAAAGATGAAAGATTATATCATGATGCTTGGATGGAGGAGGAAAGCAACCCCAGGAACTACTGAAATTATAGCAGCTCGCCTGCTTTTCCAACTCATCTTAAGAGATTTCTTGGTGGGAAGGGCTCTGCTCCATCTGTCTGGGCCTGCAGCTAGTATGATCTAGAGGAGTAGTCCCCAACTAGTCCCTACAAGTCAGAGACTGTTTCAAGAACTGCTGTGTCCCCAGTTTGGAAGAACAGAAATAAAAGGAGAGTCACATGCCCTCACATACAGGCCCAATGACTGTGGGAAGAGAAAAGCTGGATGCTTCCTTTCCCTCATCACCACTCATCGTGATGACAAGCAGACTTGGGGGAAGAAAAATCAGGAGGAAAGAAGGGAAAGCTAGCGGAGAGTGGACAGACTTACAAGGGATGAGATCACAAAGAAAAAGAGACAGCAGTACCAGGTAGGAAGGAAACAGCAGAGAGAAAACAAAGGAAGAAAGTAGAGATAGACATAGGGCAGGGGAAGTATAAAGTAGCAGTTTAGACACAGTTGTCTTGGTGTATGAATGTGCAGATAGGAGCTCACACAACTCCTCCCCTCAGCCACCCTGACCAACTCCAGTCCCCTTTTCCACAGGTCATGACTTTGTCCTGCCTCATCCATACCAGAGGCAGTAAGGACGGTAGGAACAGCAGCGACTAGTGGTTGAAGTGGAGGAGGCCTGGCCTGTGATGGTGGCTGACTTGTATCCAAACACTTTGATGACTATGTATCCAAACATGGCAGGGAATTGGGGGGAAGCGGGCGATCAGGAGGAAGGGAGGAGGGACCACTCAGAAACTTCTGCAGGAGGCAGGCAAAGCAGGGTCTGCAGTCCCATGCAGATCCAGTACTGTGTCATGGGCTCCTGCATCTCATGGTGTGCTTTGAAAAGCATGAGGATGTGGGAATCCTGCCCTGAGAACTGACTTCCCCACCCACTACCACGTGGAGAGAAAACAAGGGATATATCATATAGCAGCTTGAGGGGGCTTGAAGGGGCGAATCCTGATCTCTTCAAGCCTCTGAGAGACCCACCTGATTTTCTTCATGTATAAAGAGGCCTGGGGCACATCACTGTAAATGAGGAAAGCCAGTGTGTGTCCTGGTATGGAGGCACAAGACTCAGGGACTCCTGCGGGCCTCGTGACTTTACTCCAAGATTTGTATGACCCAGGGCTTCCACCCTGCGACCTGTGCTAGGTCTTGCACTGACCCATGCCTCCTTCAGAGGAACAGATCAGTGTGAGTCCCAGTGTAGGGGGCACAGGAGCTCAGTAATCTCCAGTGCTCTAAGTCACCAGGCATGACCCTGCCGACCCATTCGGGAGATTCGTTGACTCCTGCAACCTAGTCTCCCTCCACCCCATCCTGAACTGCTTGTGCCTGAAGCATGGGTCAGTGTGGATCTTGACAAGGAGGCTCAGGGCACCAAGGATTCCCTGGCACCTGTGTCACTGCAGGACCTGATGTGAGGCAGGAAGGGACCGGGAACACATCATCTGTTGTCCTGCATCAAGCAGGAGGCCCAGGGTGGGACAATGGGTAGTGTGTGTCACTCGGTAAAGCAGATCAGTTTGTAATGTGATATGTCATACTACAGCTGATCCCCTTCAGTTTGGCAATGTCTGTTTCTAGGCTCAGACTAGGTGAAATGCATCTTAATGAACTTGAAACAGATGGACACACAAGCCTGTTAAAGTGGTTTGAAAGCTTTCTGGAACGGGTTAATGTTGTACCGGGAAAATCAAGTGTCTTTTGAACCAGTTCACTGTACTTTGG